AAAGAAGAAAGATGGTGGTGGTGCGGCCTGAGTGGTCGTGCACACCGCGGCCGTTAAAACTAAATGGCCGCTACCTGTGTTGCTTCCTCCTTCCCCTCGCCTCGGCCGCGTTGTCCGCGTCGGCGGCGTTGTCGGCAGCCGCCTTCAGCCGCGTTGCGCGGGTCAGTGCGTCACCGCGTTACGGCCGCGAACCGACCGAACGCGCCGCCCCGCCCTGCCGCCCCGCCCGCCAGACTGCAGTGCAGTGGCGGTGCTGGCGTCAAATTGGCTGTGCGGGAAACACGTAACGGTGGGGTGTTGTGCGTCGCGGTCCTGCGTTCTAGGTGCCTCGGCGTGGAGGTCCGTCGGGGCGGTTCGGCGGGGAGTTTCGGCGGAGAGGTTCGGCGGAGAGGTTCGGCGGGGTGGTTTGGCGGTTGTTTTTGGCAGGGCGGGGAGGTTTGGCCAAGGGTTCGACGGGGTGGATTAGCGGGGAGGTTCGGCGGAGAGGTTCGGCGGGGACGTTCGGCGGGGACGTTCGGCGGAGAGGTTCGGTGGGGTGGTTCGGCGGGGTAGTTCGGCGGGGTGGATTAGCGAGGAGGTTCGGCGGGGAGGTTCGGCGGGGAGGTTCGGCGGGGAGGTTCGGCCGGGTGGTTCGGCGGGATGATTTGGCGGCGAGGTAGTTCGGCGGGGCGGTTCGGCGGGGTGGGGTGGTTCGGCGGGCGGTGATGTCGGGTCGTCGTCGTCGCGCGAGACTTGGACGCGACCTCGCGCGGGGGGAGGGGGGAGGGCGAGGGGGTCGAAATGTGGTGGTGGTTTACGACGGCGGCGCGACGTTTATGTGGAATGCGGTGGTCCAGCCTGGTGCATGCAGTGCACTGGGTGATGCATGTTGTCGGGGCCACGGACTTTCACCAGAATTTTAAAAAAGGCCGTTTCTTTTACGCGGTGCGCGTTCGCTCCGTCGGTCGTGGCGTCCGTCCGTTCGTTCCATCCCATTCCATCCGAGGTACCGTCCGTCCGGGCACCGTCCGGGTAGATGCCTCGTCTCTTTACGACCGATAATGGCAACGGTGGTGGTTTACAGGTTTACAGTTCGTAAGGGAGCGCGGCGAGCGCGGCGTGTTTCCGCCCGCAGACACTCAGGGACGGGTTTCGAGTAACGACAACGCCATGCCGCTGGCCGGATAGTGCGCTTGTGCGCAAGTGCCGGCGGGGCGAGGGCCGCGGGCAAGGGGGAGGGGGAGATTTCGAGTTTCGAATAACGGTCGCGGGCGATTTTCATTGTTTTCGGCCACAAAATTCTACTTTGTTTCAAAAGAAGCTCAAGTCTAAATTTTTATTTGAGGAAGGCAAAAACGTTCCCCCCCCAAAAAAGCATTATTAAGTAGCCCGGGGGGTTACCACTTCAAGAAATCGTGTACAGACTACTCGGTATTACGCTGCATTACGGGGGTATTACACGTGTATTACGGCCTTAAAATGCCAAAATTTGGCACTTTTGACCCAAAAATGGTATGACGATCACGTCTATTACGCGTAATACACGATTTTTATGAAAAGGGTATTACGCGAGTGGTGACCCCCTCAAAGTAGCCATTTAAAAAAATCGTTTTTAATTTTTGTAAAAAAAAAATAAAACTTTAATTTAAATTTTGCAACACGGTTTGGGTGTTTGAATAAAGGCAACTCCTGCTTCTCGGCGTGTTTTTTCGACCCCCCCCCCCCCCCCTCAGGCAGGCCACCGCTCTTCACCGCAGCGCGCAAAGCCGCTTGCATACAATAAACAGCTGGCGATGCGATTTGCGGGCGGATCTGCAGCGTTTCAATTGGCATTGTCTTATAGGCTGTGGCGCCTTGTGTGTGTGTGTGTGTGTGTGTGTGTGTGTGTGTGTGTGTGTGTGTGTGTGTGTGGTGTGTGTGTGTGTGTGTGGTGTGTGTGTTGGTGTTGGGTGTGGGTGTGACAGGAACTCCGATTGTAAAGCGCTAAAACGGAACACGCTTTTGTTTTATCTCTCTCTGTTTTTCCAATAAATATTTGTTCCATTTTTTTTTTTGGGGGGGGGACATTTATGGAAGTTACGTTCATTCTGGTGTCTTTGATTTTCTTCAAGTTCTGACCCACATTTGCCCTGCTCTGTTTTTTCGACCGGCGCGAGTTCTCGGCATCTGGGAGAAAATGGCTAGAAACTAACCTTGCCGCCCGTCCCTACTATCTGTTTGCTGGTGTGCTGCACAGACTGATAAGGTGCAGCCAGCCGGCAGGCAGACTGACTCCGAGGAATCGCCGCTCTGTCTCTGTCGCACTCGCCTGGTGGCCGGTGCGGGTGCGAGAGAGACAGCACGGACTCTTCGGCGGGCTGCCGCCGCCGGCCGGGCCGAGTGGGCGCTGCATGCATGCATGCTGCAGACTGAGAGTCGTTTTCGTCGCTCGTCTCTCTCCACCCATGGGCGCCCCCTTGTAGGCGCGAGAGAGACAGGGCGACGAAGACGACTCTCGGAATCAGTCTGCTGGCAGTGTGATTGACACTCGCAGACGGCATCCCCCACTCAGCCTTGGGCCCTGGGGTCGGTGTGATTCCCTTGCAGGTGCAGCAGGTATGCATGCAGGTGTGGCGGTTCGCGGACCGCTCGGCTCAAATTAATCGCCGTTGTGGCTTCGCGTCGGCCTAGACCCGCCAAGACGCTCTCGCGGGCGGTGAGATTTTGTCTGGGAAGCGTTTCGCCCGCTTCGGGGAATTCGGTGGCATCTTTCGTGCGTCGCCAGGATGCGGTTGAGGTGCACGGCGTGCCTTGCGGGTACCTGACCCGGTGGGTACCTGGTGGGTACCTGGCCCTGGGCCTTGGGTATTTTCCACGTCCCTGGGGGTCGAGATCTCGCCGGCGCACAGTGGGCCAGTGAACCGGTGGACGCCGTCAAAATCCCGGACACGTTTTGAGCTCCAGAACCGAACGTTTGACCCCACCAATGGATTGCTCTCCGAACGAGGAGTTCATTGGTGGGGTCACACGTTCGATTCGAGTCTTGTTTAGCGACTCTGGAGCTCAAAACGCGTCTAGAGTTTCGGCCGCCTGCGCCGGTCTTCTGGCCCACTGTGCCGCGGCCCCGCTGCCGAATTTTCTTTCCCGCGCGCAGTCTGCTGCTGTGCCCTGCAAGTAAAAGGGGTAATGATATAACGGGAATCGCTGTGCGTAATTGCTCCAAATTCCCTCGAAATGGCCGACTTTTCCCTCATTTTTGCTCATTCCGCGGGGCGGCCGTCGACAAGGCCGCCGACCCCCGAAAGGCTGTCCCTTTCAGACGCCCAAATCGGGCCTCATTCGTTGCAGTCGCGCGGTTCGCACTGGGTTCCCAGCCGCTTGGCAGGGCCGGCGGCAGGGCCCCTCTGGGGGCTCGCGAGGTGCCGCGGGGCGCCGCGGGGCGCCTCTAGCCTCAAGGTGGGCCGGGCGGACCCTCACAGTGCTGCCACCCCTCGCCGCGCACTGCCGACGCACCGGGGTTGTTTTTGTTTTTTTTTTCTTCGGGAAAACGCAGTGGCCGGCGGGATGGTTGACCCTACCAGTGCCGTGGCGAGGGGTTTGCGGACAGGGCTGCCACGACGCGAGTGCTGAAATTCCCTCACCGAATCCACGCACACTGAGAAAACCTTACAAACTATTTTAGGCCTTACAAAGAAAAGCAGCTTGTTATGACAAAGTATTTTGGCCGTTTTGCTCCATTTTCTCAGGGAAAAATTTTTTTTTTTTTGACTTGGCAGCAATTCCAGAAGAAGGGGAAGAGAAGAGATGGAATTCATTGGCTTGTCACAGCGGCTGGCTTGGCTGGCTGCTGCTGCCAAACTGGGTGCAACTGTAGCTGCTGGCTGGGTGCGGCTAGCGTTCTGGGAAGGAGCGCTGACGCCAATGGTGGTGCTGAGGCTGCATCCAGGCACGGCTGGCAAACGCCAGAGAGAGAGAGAGAGAGAGAGAGAGAGAGAGAGAGAGAGAGAGAGAGAGACGGCTCTTTTCGGGACTGAAAAACGAGTAACGAAACGGACGCTGCTGGTTCTTGGTGCTGGATATTCGGGCGGGCTGGGGCGGGACGGGGCGGGGTGGGCGTGGCTGAAGGAGGTGTAGTCCCTGGATTTATCTTTTGTCACTTTTCTTGTCCGACCTTGCATACGTCGGAAGTCCGCGCGGAGAGCCGGGCCTGCCGGGCCTGGAGGCCCCCACTCCAGCCGGGCCGCGACGTGCCGCGCCTGGAGTCGGCCTGGAGTCGGCCTGGAGTCGGTCCTGGAGTCGGTCCTGGAGTCGGTCCTGGAGTCGTTCCTGGGTCGGTCCTGGAGTCGGTCCTGGAGTCGGCCCTGGAGTCGGTCCTGGAGTCGGTCCTGGAGTCGGTCCGGAGTCGGTCCTGGAGTCGGCCCTGGAGTCGGTCCTGGAGTCGGTCCTGGAGTCGGTCCTGGAGTCGGTCCTGGAGTCGGTCCTGGAGTCGGCCCTGGAGTCGGCCCTGGAGTCGGTCCTGGAGTCGGCCCTGGAGTCGGTCCTGGAGTCGGTCCTGGAGTCGGTCCTGGAGTCGGTCCTGGAGTCGGTCCTGGAGTCGGCCCTGGAGTCGGCCCTGGAGTCGGTCCTGGAGTCGGCCCTGGAGTCGGTCCCGGCCCGGCCAGGGCGGCCAGGGCCTCAAGGATGCTCGGCCGAAGTACGAAACTGAAAGTGTTATAAATGATCCCGGGAGATGCGGCTACTCGTCCCGGAATTTAATTTATCTCGGGGAAACTGGGCAGTTCGAGCGTGCCTCGGTGGGGGCGCTGCGAGGGGCCCCCGCACTGTTGGAAACATTTAAAAAATAAAAAAAAATGTTTTCGTTGTGGTGTTGACGGTGCTGTCTTGCAACGCCCGCCCGCCCGCAGCAGAGTGCAAAAACAAAATGGATTTATTAATTTCATTTAAGGCAGTGTCATGTACACAACGTCGGACAGAGTTTGTCTCGTCGCGGTCAAGTTTCTTTGCTGTGCCAGCCTGCTAATTTCGTGTTGGTCTGTCCACAGGTATTGATTACATTTGGGGAGAAGGGCGAGTCGGCGTCAAATGTGAAAGTAAGTATACTCTGCGACTGTTTGTCTTTCTGTTTAATACGCTCGCGAAAATGCGCGGTCAAATAAGCGACGATCACGTCAAAAGACATTCAAACCCCCTACGTCCAACCTGCAAAGGTCAAATTCAGTTTCTGTTCGGGCGTAAGCGATTGTGTGTATTTGTTGCGGCGGCAATGTCTCCGCGTGCCTGTGCACTGTGGGTCAGAAGATTGGGCGCAGACGGCCCAAACTCCGGACGTGTTTTGAGCCCCAGAGTCGCTGAATGGGACTCGAACCGAACGTGTGACCCCACCAATGGATTCCTCGTTTGGAGAGCAATCCATCGGTGGGGTCACACGTTCGGTTCGAGTCCCATTTAGCGCGACGCTGCAGCTCATAACAACGCGTCCGGAGTTTGGACCGCCTGCACCGGCCTTCTGGCCCACTGTGCGGTGGACGGACAGTCCGTCTGGTTTCCGAATCGGTGGCTGGCGTTGCCTATTCGACGTGGCGCCGGCTGACGCGTGTCAGCGTGTCACCCGTGATGTGGGAGAAATTGAGTCACTTGAGCGCCGCTCGGCGCTAACGCAGCGTGGCGCGGCGAGGCGCCCCGTCTCTGAAAGAGTAGATTTATTTAATAAGGACAGGTCCTTACAGTGACCCCTTTCGATTTCCGCGCTTGATGGCTTGGAAATTGCTTACCTAAGTAGATGTCCAAAAAAAAATATTAGGTCGGTCGAAGCCTTTTTGGCCGAGTAATAGGTAACTTTTTTTTTATTTCTGAAAAAAGCTGGGTATTTTGGGTATTTTTTATATGAGACGTAAATTTTGAGCCAGGTGGATGAAAATTTGTTTTCTGGTGCAAAATTAAAAAAGGGAAAACACGTTGGTGCCCTCGGAATTGATCTACGACCAATATTTTCGGAGATATGGGCCTCCAAAGTTGAAAAAAGGGGCCAAAATGAAGCAAAAAACCCAAATCTTGGGGTTTTTGGGAACCATTGGACCTTTTGACCGATTCAACGCTCTTTTGTGAAAAAAAGCGCGGAATCCAATGAGCATACGCGCAGGTCTGTACGACGAACCGTTCAGGAGATACGCGGCTCTAAAGATAGCCTTTTTTGTGGGGTGCCGAAAATGTTGTTTTTTCACCTTTTCAGACTGTTGAGCCCACAGTGACACGTATCCTTCCTTCGCGAAGTGCTCGGCTCGGGGGAAGGGGTTTCTTTGGCGAAACGCAGCAGCCCACTGACAGATTAGAGAGAAGGCGGGGCTACCTGAGGGCTCAGGAAGAAAAAAACTCCACAAATCAAAAAAGGTACATGGTGCGCTCTAACTGGAGCATGCCTGCAAGCACGCTCTAACTAGCGCATGCCTGCCAAACATGCACTAACTAGTGCATGCATGCCATGTACACGCTAACTGAAGGAGACCTTTATTCCATAAAGGGGTAGGGAGTTTTTTTTTCATCAGAAGCGTGTACATGGGATGTATGCAGTTAGTGCATGCTTGGCAGGCATGCGCTAGCTAGAGCGTGCTTGCAGGCATGCTCCAGTTAAACATACTATGTACACTCAATGATTTGTAGAGCACCACTGAGGGTGCCGTGGATGTGGGGTCCATAGGCCCCGACCCGGCTTTGACCCCGGGGCCCGGGGCCGGTCGGGCCGGGCGACCCCCCGGGCGCCCTATAGGAATCCGGCCAAGCCTTGGCTCAGCCCTGGGCGACCGGGGGTCGCCCCGGGCCCCACCGGCTCCGGCCCGGGTCCAAGCCGGGTCGGGGGCCCATGGACCCCGACTTCGTCGGAGTGAAGGTGAGCCCCGGCCGAGCCCGACTCGAGCGCCCATGGTCAGAGCCCCCCTGGGCCCGGTTTTAGCCCCTCTTGGGGCCCCCCGCCAAAAAAAATTCTGTTTTGAACTGTTCTTTTGAAGTTTTTTGGGCTTGTACTTTTTTTTTGGCCGGGGGGGCAAGTGGGGCTCAGGTTGGGGCTCAACGGGCTCAGGTCGAGTCTCGGGCCCTCGGAACTCAGTCGGGGCTCCAGTCGGGCTCGGCCGGGGCTCTGGCCCGGAAACATGTCATCGGGGCTGAATCGGGACGGGCTTATGTACTGCGTGGATGGTGGGGGCCCACATCCACGGCACCCTCAGTGGTTTTTTTTCCTGAGCACCTCGGGTAGCCCCGCCTTCTCTCTAATCTGTCAGTGGGCTGCTGCGTTTCGCCAAAAAAACGCCTTCCCCCGAGCCCCGCACTTCGCGAAGGAAGGATACTGTCACTGTGGGCTCAACAGTCTGAAAAGGTGCAAAAAAAAACATTTTTTGGCACCCCACGAAAAATGGCTATCTTTAGAGCCGCGTATCTCCTGAACGGTTCGTCGTACAGACCTGCGCGTATGCTCATTGGATTCCGCGTCTTTTTTTTACAAAATGAGCGTTGAATCGTGTCAAAAGGGCCAATGGTTGCCAAAATCCCAAGATTTTGGGGATTTTGCTTCATTTTTGGGCCCCCTTTTTTTAACTTTGGAGGCCGATATCTCCGAAAGTATTGGTCGTAGATCAAATTTCCCAGGGCACCAACGTGTTCCTTATTTAATTTTGCACCAGAAAACAAATTTTCATCCACCTGGCCCAAAAATTTTCGTCTCATATAAAAAATACCCAAAATACCCAGCTTTTTTTAGAAATAAAAAAAAAGTTACCTATTACTCGGCCAAGAAGGCTTCGACCGACCTAATATTTTTTTTTTGGACATCTACTTAGGTAAGCAATCTGCCCAAACCATCAAGCGCGGAAATCGAAAGGGGTCACTGTAAGGACCTGTCCTTATTAAAAAATCTACTCAAAACGGCGAGTGTGAGCACAATTTCAGCTGATAGACGCTGCGTGACGCCAACACGAGGAAACCAAGTGTGATGGACGGTTGACGTGGTGACCCGAAAAAAAAAGGAAGAGTGAGAGAAAGAGAATAGAAAATATCGCTGGCTGCATTCTCGTTGTCGTTTTCTTGCGTTATCATCGCGGCCCCCCCAAGTCGATTGCAGTGAAAAGTCGCGTCGCGAATACCGTTCCTGGGCGGCTTTTCTAGTGCGGTTGCATGGCCGGCATGGCCTGCAGCGCGGGAACCGTTTTTTTTTTCCACGACATGGAAAATAGTGAAAAGAAGGCGGAATGGGCGTCAGTGGTTTCTGAAAGCTTTTGAGCTTTCGGCGGAGAAGAGGGATTTCCCACGGAAAATGCTTGCCGCCGCCTGCTGGGCGGAATCGTGGAGCATTTCCTTGATGTACGCCATCATCGTCCCTCGTCAGCGAAATGCCCTTTCTTTTTATTCAAACTGTCGATTAAAACAAAAATCATGCGTAGTCTTGCTGTGATTATCCTTTGGGCTACCAATCGTTTTGAGTGAGCCAAAATTCTTGACGCGTTTTGAGCTGCAAAGTCTCCAAATCGGACTCGAACCGAACGTGTGACCTCACCAATGGATTGCTCTCTGAACGAGGAATCCATTGGTGGGGTCACACGTTCGGTTCGAGTCCTGTTCAGCGACTCTGGAGCTCAAAACGCGTCTAGAATTTCGGTCGCCTCCACCGGTCTTCTGGCAAATCCACTTGTGCGACTGCGCGGTGGCGGCGCAGCTCGGCGAGGTGAGTGGAAAGTGTCTAATTGGCGGGTTTATCTGCCATGTTTAATAGGGACTGCAGCCGAGTAAATTGGGGTCACGGGGTTATCAGTCTCGGTCCAGCCGGGCCGCGCGGTCAGCCGCCACACTGCAGTCGAAGCGCGCCGAGCGCGGAGCAGCCATACTGCTAAAAATAGACCACTGGCGCTTGTCGCGCGTTCTTAATTTATGCCAACGAATAATTGAAGTCGAAGAGAAAGGCGAGCGGCGTTGCATTGTTAGTCATTTCCGCGCATTACCAAGTGCTCATTTGTACTTGTTTCAAAAAAAAATTTCTAAAAAAAAGAAGACAGGAAATAAAAACACGAGATTCCGTGTGCTTGAGCACATAAATGGGTCCTCTCTGTCTGTCTCGGCTTGATGAGGCTCGTAAAGCGCGCGTGTGTGTGTGAGTGAGAGGGGGTGTCAGTGACGAAGACGTTCGAGGAGGCACACGGGGGTTTACGTGTGCCCTGTCACAGTGGGCCAGAAGACCCGTGGAGGCGGTCAAAATCCCGGACGCGTTTGGAGCTCCAGAGACGCTGAATGGGACTCAAACCGAACGTGTGACCCCACCGTTCGGAGAGCAATCCATACTCGGTTCGAGTCCCATCTAGCGACTCTGGAGCTCAAAACGCGTGTAAGAATTTTGTCCGCCCCCACCGGTCTTCTGCCCCACGGTGCGGGGTTTGACGTGTGCCCCGTGTTGTGCGTCGGAGAGGAAGGAAACTGGCGATTGTGCTGTGTGGTGGTGTGGTTTGATTCAAGGGGCTTTGCTTTGACCTACATTCGCCGTGTGAGACTCCGCGTCTTTCGTCTCCCTCTGCGAGGGGTAGTCAGCGAAAGAAGGTAATAAATAGGAAGGCGAAAAGGACTCTGCGAAATAGATGGCGGGGCAACGGCCGCGTAGATGCAAAAATGGCGTGCAGCCGACCTTGAGGATAAGATATTGTTGGAGCGCACGCGCCACGCGCCTCCCGCAGACTGCTTCCGAGAGGCGTTTTCGTCGCTCTGTCTCTCTCGCACTCATGGGGCGTCCCGTAAAGACGCGAGGGAGACAGAGCGACGAAAACGACTCTCGGAATCAGTCTGCAGGCGCACGCCAGTGGCACCTTCGGAGGGGGAGGGGGGCAATAATTTTCGCGGCGCCATCCCCCAGGGCTGCGCCGGGCCACAGTGGGCCAGAAGACCGGTGGAGGCGGCCAAAACTCTAGACGCGTTTTGAGCTCCAGAGTCGCTAAATGGGACTCGAACCGAACGTGTGACCCCACCAATGGATTGCTCTCCGAACGAGGAATCCATTGGTGGGGTCACACGTTTCGGTTCGAGTCCCATTTAGCGACGCTGGAGCTCAAAACGCGTCTAGAGT